CTCCCGCTCCTCCTCCCTCAACCTCCGCTCGCTCAACATCGTGCCGAACGAGCCGAACAGCGGGTGCTTCGCCAGTTTGCGCCTTGCCGAGCCGCCGACGGGGCGTTGGTGGAGGAGCGAGCGCGGGCGGTGTGGGGTGCGGCGGGGTGTGAGGGTGTGGGTGAGGGCGGATGGGGATGTGCTGGGGCCGGGTGAAGGCGCGGGATATGGAGGGGAAGAGATGGTGGAGGTGGTGGTGGCGGTGGTAGGTTGAGCGAACGAGAAGGATATACTGTCGATCTGCGGTGTGGGCGCAGTAGGCGCCGGCGCGCTCGACGTGCTAGCTTCGACGGCGACGGACGCCGATGCGCTCTCGATGCCTGCCCGTGAAGGTTCTTCGACCGCCATTGCGTCTTCGATTGCAGGTGTGGGGGTTGGCGCGTCTTGGTCTTGATCGGTGCGCACGTCTGGAGGCGAGAGCGCGGTCGGTTGTGTAGGCGTCGGAAGCGCGTCAGTATCCGGTGCGATAGGTGCAGCAGGCGATGCGATGTCCGCCATTTCTACGTAGACCTCAACAGTTGCGGTGGCCTCGTCCGCGGGCGTCGGATGCGCGTCTGAAGGTGACGGGAGCGCCGTCGAAGCGACGTCCGCCATCTCGACCTCGACCTAGCAAACCATGATCAAACACGCGTGTCAGCCCCATGTAAAAGACGCCGTACCTCGTTCTGCATAGTTGTAGATACCGTTCCGTCTTGAGCTGTATGCGCATCAGAGTTGAGCGATACGGCGATGGTCGATGGTGGAGGCGGAGGAGTCGGCGACTTGGTCGTCGTCTCTGGCGCGACGACCTCGTCGAATGGCAGACTGGGCGCCGATGCAGCACGCATCGCAACATCCTCGACCTGAACATCTAGTCAGATATAATCAAACGACGGCTGAAGACAGCGCACCTCCTCGACCCTAGCACTCGCACCCGCGCCTCCCCTAGGATGGGGCGCGACATAAACGATAACCTCCTCATCCTCCTCCCTCCCAAGCGGGACACCGACGGCCCTCTCGACCTCGATCCTCCCTTCCTTCTCCTTGTTTCTCGATCCAACACTATCGACGTAGAACCCCGTAAACGTCTCCTCCGTGCTCGGGGCCCCAGTCGTCCGTTGGGTTTGTTGTGTTGCGGCGAGGACCTCGATCTCGGCCACTGCCTCGCCCAGATCGGCAAAGTCGATCTCTTGTAGCTCTTCCTCGTCATCGTCGTTGGCATTATCGAGCGGGATGTGGAACACGCGCGACACTGCGTCGGCGGTCGGGACGTGGCTCTTCTCTTGCTCGTCTGCCCCACCAATCATTTCCCGTCAACACCTCATCGTACACTCGATATGAGACGAAAAGACGCACCGGCACCCTCAACCCCCGGCTCAAAAATCTCCTCCTCGTCCATAAACAAGCTCGGCGTGATGCTCGACCGCACGAACACGATCGGCCGCAGGAACGGCCGGTCCTCGAACAGCAGCTGCGACAGCGGCGCCGTGCCGGTCTTCAGTTTCTTGTCGAGCATTTTCTGGCGCAGGCGGTCTTTTGGTCCTAGGTCGTCGCGGCCACCGCGTTTGTTAGAGCCGGTGCCGCGGAGAGGCGAGGCGTAGGAGGTGCCGCGGGGTGTGGAGGTGCCGCGCGAGGGCGCGGGCGAGTAGACCCCGCGCGGACCGCGACCGCGCCCGCGTCCTCCTCTCGGCGCATTAAAACCTAAGAACATGCATGAGCACATTACAGTTTGATAGATAGACAGATAACTGAGACGTACTCTGCGGGACGACCTCGCCGTTGGCGATCACAAAGTCGTCGTCGAAATCGTCGAACCCACTCCCGCGCGGGCCGTATACGAAGCCGCCCCTCCCTCGCCCTCTACCCCTCCCGCCGCGTCCGCCGCCCCGCCCTCGACCGTTGCCGTTGCCGCGGTTATCGCCGCGTCCGCCTCTGTTCCCGCGCGCCATGGTCGTACAGATATGACAGGAGTCTATATGCTACAGTGGATGTGATGCGAGAATGGTGTGCGTGTCTATGAACGAAGATCGTAGTGAGGAGGGATGAGGGATGAGATGAGAGGGAAGTGGAAGACGGGCTTGACTCGCGGGCTGCCCTTCGGGAGCGCGCGCCAGATCGCGGTGACGTCGGGCCGAGATGCCGCCGATCGGAGAAGAGAAGGCCTACAACACGCGCCACTCCGAGTCTTCCTTCGACCACTACCGCGCGCGCCGCTCACTCATCTTATGTCCTAATCATTGGTCGCACTTTACTCCTTCTGGCCGTGTCCCGCGCCCAACTACGCGGACTCGGGGGATTCTGCGAGCATCGCTTGAGCGCCTGTCCTTACAAGCTTCTACATATGCTGTCGTTTTACTTCGCATCATGACAACAACACCGCCACTTCGACTGCCATCCGCCCCTTCTGTCCAACCTGACGCTCACCCATCCGCGTCTGTTCACGACTGCGACCAACTCGACGCCGCCCTCGACGCTCTCTTCCATAACTATCCGACAATCCCCACCGCCGACATCGAACGCCCACTCCCAGCGGCTCTCCCAAGTCCCATCGACGGCACTGCCCGTTGCCAGCAAATTTGTCCAATCTTCGAGACGACTGAAAACGGAACGCACGACGACTCAGACTCCGACCGGCGCTCGGGAATCCCTCCAGCGCGTTCACCGACGCCGAAGATTCGTAGCGCTTAAGCCAGCTCAGCCTCTAGCCCACAACACCGACATTCTCGTGTGGCGTGGTCCGAACCCGGAGAGGCACTCTCGCAGATGACCACATGCCATACGGCGTTTTACGCTTGACACGGTGCTCTATGCGGTACGTATGTCCGTTCAGTCTTACCAAGCTGTCTGATGGTCATACCATATGCATATAGGACTTAGCATGACGTCATCGAGTTCTCGATTCCGTTGCCCTCGTTCCGCCAGAGCACGTTCGACGACGTCCAGTCGGCTTTTTGGATACTAGTCTGGATTCTTCTCCGCCATTACATCGGATGTCCACTCTTGAACCTAGTGGACCCCGAGCTATCTGACACGGCGTGCGACTCAATCACAACCTTCTACGCCAACGCCGCAGAGCGGATCCCTTACTTCTGGCACGACCCCTTCAAGTTGGTGGTCCTACTTAGAGCTTGCCTCCCCGGTCCGCGCTTCGTGGATATCAACCACTGCCTCGGGATGTTTCTCTTCGCGATGCGTGGGCGACAAGGGCGAGCACTCAAGGCCGCGTATTCGGCCGCGACGAACGCGGTTGATGTTCAGAAGCCGGCCGAAGGAACGCCGGGCGCTATCGAGGACTGCGTGGACGTTGTGCGGAGGGTTTTAGGCGTCGTTATGCGGGATCCTGAGCTCGAGGCTGAGGCTGAGTTTACTCTATTATGAGAGAGCATTCTTCATTAAGCTTCACGTCTCATTGAGCGTGTACATACATATACTTCGTCACATGTGCCGCTGAAAGTTTATCGTGTGATGAGAGGAGACATATTTTCACGAAAGAGATAGGCTCGAGGAGGTCCAAGTTCGGTGCTGCATTTGATTGACGCCTGAGCGGCGATATCGGGCCAAGATGCCGAGGAAGCGTGCCGGCAGCCGCGCGGCCGTCCTTGGGCCGCTCCTTGTCTTCCTTCTCCCACCCTGAGGGTGTTCTGTCTCTCAGCTCCGTGCCATTCCTATTACTATCATACTATCAGATATAGCGCACACTCTTATGTGTCCTTCTGAATCCCCTGAATGTTGTGTCCCCGAAAGGCTCAGTTCGTGGTCCCTCGTTAAAGGCCATCTCCCCAGCATCCGACACCGTACAGAAGTTCACTGGGACATTTTTACACGATATTTGCGCGGTAAATGTTCTCGTTTGACAGCCCAACAGATCCGGAGAACGCACGATGGAAGAGGACGATGTGTGCGCCAAACACGCACTTCGATCTCGAGACCATACTTCAACGCGTGTTCTCCCGCCGGGTCGAGCGCGCTGGGTTCATTTGGCAAAAGAAGCTTCTTAACCGAGCATCCGCACGCTGTTCATCCTGTCCCAAGACTCTCCGCTAAAATTACCTGCATCAGCAGACCAGAAGCTTACTTTGTGCGAGACCCTTGATAGCAGTGTCCGCCAGGCCGCCAGTTCGTGCCATACGCGCGAAAATATGTGGATACATGTTGCGTAGTCTACCTTGCCAACAATAGTCGCAAATGCCAGCACTGCTCACGGGCGTCTCCTCGGATCATGAAGCTCATGAAGCAGGGAGTCGCTCCGATGGCATGAGGTAGGAACTCGAGGATCGCACGCAGTTCACACAGCTGGCCTGGCCTGGCTGTAGTACGGCTACGGATCTCGTGGTCATGTAACCTTATCCGCGCGCTCACAAAAGGCCAGGCGGGATCGTGGTACTTGCCTGTTGACCGCCCTCGTACTATCTTTGCTGCCAAATCACCCTCATCGCGAGCGTTCCGAATGCCTGCTTCAGTCCTCACCGTGCCAGACCCGACCCTGCATTCGGGAGGCTTGGATCAAGGAGATAGTACGTCTTCAGCTTTCTCTCTCTCTAAGGGCACAGCGTACTCAATCCGGGGTTCAGGTGTCATGGAGAAGATATTGAAGGACGCAAAAGTGGTGGCGACGAATGCGATAGAAGCGCTCAACATAGTTGCCGAGGTCGTCGAAGGCGTACCATACCTCGGCGCGGTTGCCAAGGCAGTGACGGCGTTCAAGGATATCCTGGACGTAGGACATATCCTATGCGAGTGTGGAGAGCATATACTGAGTGCGATTATAGGTTGTTGAGGAGAATAAGGAAAGCTATGCGGCGGTCAAGGAGGACGCAACGACATTTCTTGGTGATATTGAGAAGTTTGAGATAGTTCTTCGGTCCAGGCCGCAGGGCGAGAGAGATGAGCTTCGGGAGGTACTTCGCGACATGTGCTGGTACGCCTCCCATCTGGAATGCAGAGGCGCGAATTGGTTGCTTACTCTCCATGCATTGTAGTGACGTACGGGATTGGATCGTGGATCTCTCAGCTCAAAAGGTCGACTCACGCGGCATTCGGAGCAGCATTCGCCGGGTCTTGATGCGCGACGACGTGAAGGTTTCAGTGAGCCGGTGCCGAGACAAGATTGGGAGAGCTAAATCGAAGATTTCTGTGCGCTTTTATGCCCCTGAAGTTGGCCGTTTGCACTCACTTCTCGAACCAGATGATGGTGGAGTTTGACACCAACCGGACATCACACGACACCAACGGCACATCCCACGCCACTTATGATATGGCCAGCGCGATATATCAGAAGATGCTTGAGGTACAGCAGTCTTCTGTGTCTCCTCATGCGTGAGTGGCCACTCATCGCACCGAGCTATACATTGACATCACACCTCAGTCAAGTTTGGTCGTGTCGCAGCCCACCTAGCGACTTATTCGGCCGCACAAAAGAAGTCAGCAGAGCCATCCAACTAATTGTGAACCAGCAACCTGCCCGTGTTGCTATCTTGGGCCCTGGAGGTATCGGGAAGACATCCATTGCTTTGACAGTCCTTCATCACTCCGATGTAGTGACGCTTTATGGAGACAAGCGTTGCTTTCTACCATGCGAGGGCTTGAACACCGCTGGCGAACTCGTTCACGCGCTCGCGGAGGCCACAGGTCTTGAGCTGAAAGGCACATCATCATTTGATGATTCTGCTTTGTCTGCTCTGCGATCTCATCTGAAGCCTCTTGTTGGGATCTTATGTCTCGATAATCTGGAGACACCTTGGGATAACGAGGCTTCCAAAGTCGAGGGCTTACTTAGAGAAATTGATTCTCTTCCGGCCATCGCGCTTATCATCACAAGTCGTGTAGCCGATAAGCCACTCATCCGGTGGTCGTCTCCTGCCCTAGAACCTATCGAACCTCTGAAGAGAGACGCTGCTCTTCAGATTTGGGATGCCATTTGCTCAACAGACAAGCACGATGATCACGCGGTCGAACTGATTGAAGCTGTGGCGTGCATACCTCTGGCAGTGACCCTTCTCGCTCGACTTGCTCAGTACGAACCCACGGAGGTTTTGCTCGCTCGTTGGAGAAAGGAGAACACAGAGGTGGTCGCATCCCACGGTATCGGAGATCATCTCAATAGTCTTGATGTATCCATCAAGTTATCTCTCCAAGCCCTTGACCAACACAGTTTTGAGATGTTTAGCATCGTCTGCCTCTTCCCCGCCGGTCTCCAGTGCTCGAGGTTGTCAGCTATTGAACGAGTATTGAATGGCCGTCTTGGGTCAGTTCCTCGTGCCGTGGCGCTTCTCAGGCGCCACTTCTTGGTGCAGACGGCACAAGATGTTAACGCGAATGATGGGTGGCTCGGAGGTCCTACTGGCCAGGGCATCCGTACTCTTCCTCCCATTCGCCTCTATGTCGAACGATCATCCTGCAACATCTCGTTCAAAACTTCTATTCTCTTATGGTCCATCAGACGGCAGTTAGGCTACGGCCATAGGGACATATTGTTCGACTTGGTGTGGAACATGGGAGCGCGGCGTATGTCTCGCGCAAGCGCGAAGATCATACAATACGTGGCGTTGGCTTCGACTCACGCCATCTGGTACATAGTGGCACAAAAGATGGTCACGTTAACTTTAGCAGCCTGCATATGCAGACAATCACACCTCGCCAGCATTCATCTTGGGCTATTCCTACTCTATTCAATCGCATGGGATGCAGCATGGGGGGTGCTGGTACAAGTCATTCTATATTTCTGGTCAATGATGCCCAGCCATGTCGCCGGGGCTACCTGGATTCTGCTCTCGGCGCTTTCGATCGGGGTCCGTGGGGCGTCTTTGATGAAATGCTTGGACCTACCCCTCACGTTCATGAACATGATCCTGTTGGTGGTACTAGCCGCTCTTATGGGGGTTTGGGAATACTTCATGGCGTTCGCAGATGTACAAGCTCTTCAGCGAGTCATCACGGTGATGATCTTGAAGCGGGTCGTTCCTTCCGAGGGCTGATCTCGTCGTGCTACGAAGAGCATCAAGCTCGATTATTGTTCGACATCAGCATCTCATGCCCAGTTCCCCTACATCCATATTTACACGCCGACATTTCCGTTCATCATTGCGTAAAGCCAAGCGCTATAGCAGCGCCGCAGGCCTTCTACTTCGCCTCCGCAAGCCCCCCTTTTCTCCTTGAGCATCATCGGCACCTTCTTCAACGCCTCACTCTTCTTCGCTGCATTCTTCCGTGCCATCCCCCAGTTTCGCCCAGACTCCCTCGAGCTCCTCCCTAGCGGTCTTCCATAAGCTCCGTCTCAACCTTCTCAGAATAAACTCCTACGCCCGCGAGCTAGAGAGCGGATCCAGTCGCCTTGAGCGCATCAATGACAACGACCGCCTGTGATCTTCGCTGGTCCTTCCTTTGCGAATCGTGACGCTCAGCTCGATCGAGGCGTCTTGTGGCTGGGATGCATATTCAGGCGCAGCGCCGTCTGATGCTGCGAATATGGTCGCGATCACGCATGCCTTGGGCATAGCCTCGACATTAGCGCTCGTCCTCTCGGACTTCGCTCCGTGTTCAAATGCCGCCCGCTCATGCTCGAACACAGTGTCTTGCGCGACGGAGAGCTCCTCTGCACGGCGAGGAGAACCCTGATGAATCCCTCCGAACCAGCCTTGGGCAATGCGAGCTTCAACAGGCTCCAACGTGAGCCCCTTGACATGGAACCTGGCCCGCGTGACCTCGGCGTCTGCCTCGAGCGTAGTAGACGGTGTCATGCCCACCGCGTCGAGCTCTTCCACTCCCCCAGGCTGTTCTACCGCGACGGGGAAAGTTCAAGGATCATCGCAGAATCGGCCCATGTGCGATGTCGGCAGATTCAACGGTTCGCAAGGACAGTAAGCCCAGCTCCGGACTATGCAAATCCACCGCGCCAGCCTCGGCTTCCTCATTCGCTTCTCCCGTCGTGTCCACCTCTCCCTCACGATTAGCGCTGCGTCTGCCTCTATTTCCGCGCGCCATACGGAGCCGGAGTGTAACAACGGGAGTTCATATGCTTTGGTCGATATATGTGTGATGGAAGCTGGTGTTGTAGTATATAGTCGATCGTGCAGTGGAAAGAGGGAGACGCGAGAGTTGGAAGTTGTGTTCATTTGCAAGAGTGTAGCGTCTCAGAGCTGTTCGGGGCGGCCGTGGCGGCCGAGACGCCGCAGCGCTAATTACCGGTCCGGGCCGGAATTACTCTACACTCGAGAACAAACATACTTTTTTCCCCTTCAGATCTGCTTCATATCTATTGAACGTGTACATGTACATATCACTATCCAACTCAGCCTTCAGATTCCTCCTCCTAAACGTCCCCACAGAACGAATACAACATCAGCACAAACCCAACACCCACCGCATATAAGTGCGAGACCACAGCCCGTACCGGGGAAGCCGTAGCTAGATCACCTGCTCTCATTCGCAACCCGATGCGAAGATGCGCTCTTCGGGTGTAGGGCGGCTACGATGAAGGGTCCGGGTTTGGCCGCGAGACCTTTGGCGCAGGCGAAGAGCATGAAGGGCGCGATCGCTCGGGCGCCTGAACATACGGTTAGAGATTGAACTGGCTCAAAGTGTGCGTGGAGAGGGAATGGGGCGTACTGGAGACGTCCGCGGCGGCGGGCGGGAAGATCGAGCTGAAGCCCCCGCTCTACAGCTGCTTTAGGAGACTATGGCCCTGTTCGACCTCGCGTTAGGCACCTGCGTTAGGCAGCACGTTAGGATGGGAAGTTCGTTAGGCATTTTCGTGGGACAGTCCACCATATGCGGGTGTAACGCCCGGGTAACGCCCAAAGATCTTCCGGATCTTCGACGTCATCCGACACAGTACCCACGACACTCCAATGCCGTGCAAACTGTCCCGCACAATGTTGAGCTCGACGCGTAGACTGTTGAGGCACAGTGCTTGGTGCAATTCTATAGCTTTGCCTCTGTGACTCTCTCCTTTCAGCAGGATCGGTAGCTCACGACGAACCATCCGCTCAACAACAAGGGTATCGAATCATTTATGAGCGCAAGGTCAACGCCGTCCGCGTCGAGCTCAAGGGCAGCCTGTCGGGAGCGGGGCGGGAGGGAGCGCGCGACGGTAACGGTGTGTGACGGTGGAAGTCCGGCCCTCGGCTACTGGAACTCCACCGGTGTCCTAACAGAGTTCCCATCCTAACGCACTGCCTAACGTAGGTGCCTAACGCGAGGTCGAACAGGGCCTATGTAATTAGGACAGCAGAGCCCAACGCACGATATTCCCAAACGCCACTGCAAACACATCAATCAGCACCAGACCCCTCGCAAAGCCCCACAGCACGAACGCAAACAGACTAGAATGCACCGCCGAGCCGATCATGGCCATCGTGTAGGGCTCTCGGTCGCAGTAGTAGTACTTGAATACGACCTGGCTGATTGCCGTCGTGGAGAGGTTGAAGGCTGCGAGCGCTGAAGTGCCGTTGAGGGAGGCGAAGCCGAGCGAGGCGGCATACGAAAGAGTCGTTCACGGGCGCGGTCGCCTCGAGGAAGCAAGCAGAGCCTATAGAGGCGGAGATGGCTGCGATGTACCGCCTGGGCGGGGGGACGAGAGGGAGGACATCGTGTCCCAAGTTCGGCGCGGACGCGGGCTCTAAGGTCGAGAGGTGAGCCATCTTTGAATGCTCTCTGGCTGTATCGCGGGATCTTCAAGTCTGCTGCAACGCCCAGTGGTATCCCAGTTGACGAGGTCATCGCGCGAGAGTCGGCAACGAGGTTGCCCACTCCTCTGCCTTCACCATCAGCCATCATTGTGTCCCTCAACCTCGAAGTGCCACGGCATCATCCACGACCACGCAATTCAAGATACGGCGCATTCTCAGAAGCCCTATCGGGGAGTTCGATGTTGCCGCGGCCCCATGCCTTTCAAGTCACGTTCGGTTCGGTTCGGTTCAAGAATGGGATGCGCCCTGATGCGCCGTCGCCGTCGCTTACAAAGAAGGCGGGATCGTTAAGCTGGTGGACGAGATGATACTATTCCGACCCCAGAAGTGGGACGGCGTGCGCGCGAAGTGGGACAGGAGAGATCTACCCGCTCGAGAATTCGGAAAAAAATGCGAGTACTGGGATTTAGGTATCCAACACGATCTACGAGAACATATCATTTTTTATCAGTGCGGTGAAAGAGCTATAGGCGTAGAGAATGTGAAACGCGTCGTTTCGCGGGTGGGAACTTACGTCTTCGCCACGAGCCACACTGACCACTTTATAGCTATTCCCGTCCATCCTTTCGTTGTATCGCCCAGATATTTCGCAGGTAGCCCCAGGATCTACATACAAGTAAGCACAGCACTTTTTCCCTACCGTCCTACGTCTGAGTCTCCCCGGGGACGATTATTTTCCTTTGATGGGACTTTGATGCAGCTGGATTTCGACTTTTTGGCATACTATGGCCCTGCAAGTGAGCGTACGACTACAAAA